ACTTCCCAACAGCTGCAGAAAATGGTGAGAGAGGGGCCTCCTGGCTTGTATATCCTTATATATCCTTATTTTCCATGGGCTGTTGGCCCATTTCAGTGGGATTCCATCTACACCATGTGCAGGCCAGATCCAGGCACTCGCCTGTTTTTAGCATTTTTACAACTTTTATTATTTTATCCTTTCTTCAACCTATGTTTCATTTCCTTTTCTGTTATTGTAGCATTGGTTACACTAGTCTCTATTTTATTGAATAGCAATGATAATTGTAGATATATTTATCTTTCCCATGATCTTAAAGGGAAATCTATAAAATGTCAAGTATATTTGACTTCTCTTTTGCAATATACTGAAAGGAAATACCTAGGGAGAGGCAAAGATTATGAGATCAGTATAAATTTCATATAGTTCCCATACACTTATTGAAGAATTATCATAGTTTAAAAATTAAAACAATCCACTGGAAGACACAAATATGGCCTGCAATTCTATTTTTAACATTTGTCTTCTAGAACCAGTGGTAATTCTAGTTCTTAAACTAATGGGTTTCTATTTATGAGTCAACTGAGATAATACACACAAAAGGACTTTAAACAGTAAAATATCCACATCATATTTTACTGTTCCCAAAGAAAATGAAGAAATGTTTTCTCAAAGATAATTCAATCTCTGTGTAACCTTTATTTCATGTGGCTCATTCTATAATCTATTCGCTTCTTCAAGATCTTCGCTATTAGACACCATTTTGATTTAGTGGGGCCCGCACTGTCATCATTCCTATACATGCCCTGTGTTCATCTTGCTTGATGGGAGAACAATCCATCAACCTACAGAAAAGAAGGAACAGGAGTTGAGAAGAAAATAACAAAATGTATTTAAAACTTCTCCAGTTGGCATTTTGATGAAACAGCTAACAGTTATCTCACCCTTTATCTGCCTTCCTCTGTTCCTGGAGTCCTCCAGAGACTTTACTCCTTGAAACTCGGGTGTCAGCACCAGACATTGTATCTCCAAAGGGAGAGGTATTAGTTAACCTTTTGCTGGTCATTCTTGTCTGAATGTAAATAGGCAAATTCTTAAGCCCTCTTATTCGTGTCATGATGATCATCAAGAAAAAAATTAAGCCAAACTTGCATGTTGAAAATAATGAAATTACACAAAAATCCTGCAAATAATAAATAATGCCAATTCACTTAAAAATTAAAACAATAAGGATATAGTGCTTCATAGTTTAATATTATGGAAATAAATTCCATAATGTATGCTTCAAGGGTATTCAGTAGCTCAGAATTAAATGTCCACTCTTTAATTATAGAGGGATAACATTTATTTATGCATTTTATATTTTTTACTTTTATTCTTTACTTGTGTTTATGTGTGTGTGTGTGTGTGTGTGTGTGTGATGTGTGTATGTATGCATGTGGGGGATTTGTGTTCATTTGTGTGTGCACATGTGAATGCAAAGGTCAACTTTAGGTATCTTTCTCTATCACTCTCCACCTTATTTTTGAGACAGAATCTCTCACTGAACTGTTTTGACTAAACTGTCTGTCCAGTGAGCCCCAGGATCTGCCTATCTCTGCCACCCCAGTGCCAGGTCACAGATGTGTACCATCATGCCAGGTTTTAATGTGAGTGTTAGGGATCTAAACTCAGGTCCTCATCATTACATAGTAAGTACTCTATCACTGAGCAATCTCCCACACCCTTTTTCTTGCATATTTTTTGTCTAGGAAAAAGATAAAATGGATTCTGAATTTCATATACACTAAGCTTCAAAACAGTTTCACTGAGTTGCTTTCAGGATTAAGCAAGTTATCTCACATCAGTCACTTATTTGTCTCATGTAACATCAGGATTTAAATATTTACTGTAAAGAATATTTATAGATATTAGTGAGGTGTGAATCTCAACTATTTCTGGTGTGTATTGAAATGTGAGATAACAGCTATGTTCTTTATGAAAGTTTGTGATGTATCTATGTAATTGTTACATAATAATAACTATAAAATTTCATAATCGGGTCATCATTATTAATATATAGTCTATCATCTCCATTACCATGCACTTTAACCTTTAAGTAAATAGATATAGATTTACTCAAAATGGAAGAAAATTTATTACAAAGCCTTATTTATACCATTGGATTTTTGCTAACATAACTTTTGGAGTAAACACTTTTCTCATATAAATGGTTATGTTTGTTTGACAATCAGAGGAGACTATAGAAATTTACAAAGTAGTTTACCTTTCCATATAGTTTCATAATAAAGACATCAAGATAGGGGTAGTTTCAGCTTGAAAGTTTTAGACCTTTCATAATTTAGATTTTATAATGAGAATGAATGGTAAAACAAAAAACTTAACATTGACAGAGGCTGGAGAGATGGCTCAGTAGCTAACAGCATGTAGTGCTTTTGCAGAGGATCTGGGTTTGGTTCCCACCATACACAGCAGCTCACAATCATCTGTAACTTTTGTTCCAGGGGATCGAATGCCCTCTTCTGGCCTCCTTGGGCACCAGGCGTGCACGTGGTACGTATGCATACATGCAGACCAACACACATACATATAAAATAAAAATAAATGTTAAAAATTTTAGAGACATCTCAAATTATACATAATATTAGTTATCTTGATATGTATCTAACATACACAGAAATAAACAGAATATTCATATATTCAAGAAATATACATGAAAATTCCACTTATCCAGTCTTAACTCTGTAGTGGATTATTTTAAGTAGTGAAATTCAATAGTACAATAAAGCTTGATGAGTTAGAACAGCATTGATTACAAGGCAAATACCCACCTTTCCTAACTCAGCTATTAGGTAATGAAACATAATAGGTGATATCTGAAAAAGTTGCTTAAAAGGCAAATGGCTTTGCATGTGTGCACATTTTATCAGCTCATAGCTAGATCACTGAAGGTGATCCTTGTCTGACTTCCAATTTCTGTGTAATTTTATTCTTTAATAACAAAATTTAGACAAATGTTTTCCCCAATGACCACAGAGCTGTTTGTCCGACTCCAAGGCCACCATATCTGAACAGTGTTTTTTTTTAAGTGTATTTTTCATGTGTATGTGTGTGTGGGGTGCACGTGTGTCATGATGTGCATGTGGAGGTCAGAGGACAGCAATGTGGAGTTGCTTCTCTCCTTCCACAGTTTATGTGGGTTCTGGGATTGCACACAGGTCCTCAGGCTTACACTGAAAGTGTTTTTACTGCTGAACCATCTCACTTGCCCTGAAAATTTTTTTTAAACTTGTGGATTGTGGTGGTGATTTTGGGAAATTATGTTATTCCTAGTGACAAATTATTAGTTGTCAACTTTCGTGCAGGTTTTTTTTTTTCTTGTAGTCCTACATACTTGGGACTGAAGTAAGAAAATTACTTGAGGCCAATAATTCAAGGCCACCCAGGGCAATGTATGATATCTTGCCTAGTAAAAACATACCAGATTTTAATCGTGTCTGTATGTCTGAGTGGTATTACTCAGCTATAGGCATAAATATATTTATCATTTCTAAATATTTTAGTTATTTTTATTTTATTTTATGTATATGAGTGTATTGCCTGCATGCATGCAAGTGCACCTGTGTCATGCAATGCCCACGGAGGTCAGAAGAGTGTTGGAGTCCCTGGAACTGGAGTTATGAACAGTTGTTAGCTGCCATGTGGGTTCTGGGAGCTGAACTCAGACCCTCTTACAAGAACAGCCAGTGCTCTTAACTGCTGAGCCATTTCTCCCCCCGCCACATTCATTTCTTCTTCTTCTTTTTTTTTTTTAAAAAATTACTTATTATTTTTATTTCATGTGCATGTATGTATTGCCTGCATGTAGGTAAGTGCACTCATGTCATGCAATGCCCACAGATAATATCTTGCCAGCTACAAAAGAAAAAAAAGTTAGTAATTCATACTGAAAAACTTTCAGTTCTACTACTTGTGAACATAAGGTCTGAGACTAGCAAATTCATGCCTGGAATTTATTCAAATGTGTGCACAGAAGTCATGTGCAAGAATGCTCTTAGAAACTTCATTTAAGATGTATAAAGTTGTGAAACATCCAAATGACAGTCAACATGAGAATGAATAGATAACAGTCGTCTATTTATAAAAAAAGGATGACAAAAGAATTCCTCTTCTCAAAAAGCCTCTGTAGACCTGGCAGAGATAAGGAGGGAAGGAGTTAGATGAACATATATAGTGAACAATTCTATTCGTGCATCCTCAAGACACAGCAAACTAAGATGAAAACGAGCAGAGAAGAGCTTCCTATTGAACTGCTTGTTCTGATACGTTGAGGGATACATTTAAGAAATGAGTACTTTATGCACACTTTATCCCCAAACAAATGTAAAGGTTCGTCAACTGTAGGAAAGAGTTTCCATCTGTGGGCATAGATGATAGAATGGTGTGGAGAGGAGCTCACTCATTGATTTCATCCGTTGTCCATGGCCGGCTTGCTAAATTCAGTGTTTCAGCATTGGGGACTTGCCAGCTCAGCTCTCCATCTTCAGAGACTCACAAACTTCCTGCGTGGGCTCCTCCTGCTCGGAGGCGGGTAAGGATGGATGTATATGGGGACGCAGTATAAAAAAGGACTCAGTTCCCTTTTAAATCCACACAATACAACAGGAACTGCGGGAACAAGAGGCAAGCTGTGGGTGAACACAAAAGGCCCCTCGCTAGTTCCAGCGCTTTAGCTGCAGCCGACTGGACAGCTCCTGGATGATTTCCTTTCCTTGAGTGGACCAGGGTGGCAGGTACCTCTATCAGTCCCTGAGGAACGGACCTTTGTTCTCCCGCTTGCTATAGGCGGGAACAAAGGACTGAAGGCGGAAAAAAGACTCCTGTTTTGCGTTTTGTTTGAATTTAAATTTCCAACAGCCCCTTCAAAAAGGTGAAGCTCAGAGCTAAGCAACAGACTTCACTGCGGGACGCGGCAGGGTGCCAAGGTCCCTGAGAGCCCCAAACTTGTCAGCGCGCATGAGAGGGAAATCTATTTAAACCTAAGTCCTGCACACTGCACTTTTCAAGACACCGGAGCGCATGAAAACTCTAGTGGATTCTCTAGGAAAGGAGACCATGCCCCACAGGTCTCTGTCTAACCTCTCCCTGCTCACGGAAGCGAATGAGAGCGAGTTTGTTCCGGACGTGTGGGAGAAGGATTTCCTGCCCAGCTCGGACCGGACCACCGCGGAGTTGGTGATCCGCTGTGTGATCCCGTCCCTCTACCTGCTCATCATCACGGTGGGCTTGCTGGGCAACATCATGCTGGTAAAGATTTTCCTCACCAACAGCGCCATGAGGAGCGTCCCCAACATCTTCATCTCTAACCTGGCGGCAGGAGACCTGCTGCTGTTGCTCACCTGTGTCCCGGTGGATGCCTCACGCTACTTCTTTGATGAGTGGATGTTCGGTAGTTTGGGCTGCAAACTCATTCCAGCCATCCAGCTCACCTCGGTGGGGGTGTCTGTGTTCACTCTCACTGCCCTCAGCGCCGACAGGTAAGAGCGCAGGTAGCAAAGGGATGGCCTGGAAAAGTGCTGGACAGGGGCAGGGAGTTCCGATGCATAGACACTGGAGTGCACCAGAGATGGTTTGGATGTTAGAAAGAGTGGGAACAGAGGGGGAGAAAAAGAAACCGTGTCTATGTGAGGCTATGAGGAAAGCAGAGTAAATCAAATCAAAAGAGATTGAGGTGTGAATGTTGAAGGCATACAGGAAACCATTTCAAAAACTAGTTTAAATCGCACTAACTTCAAACCTGCATGTCCCAGTGCTTCCGTTCTCATACACACGTTGGAAATCTTATGCATTTCAAAGAAGGGCTGTAGCTTAAACATATAAAAGTTTCATCAACTTCTGGGACATTTTGTGAGCATGCCTAAACCTTAACATCTACTTTCCTGGTTCACCAGGATGACACTCTGGTATGTTAGAATCCCAACTTCAATATAAAAAAAAATGTTTAATTTAGATTGTGCGTTGTTTATGATATGAACTGAATACTGTTTAAGTGAAAAAGATCGATAATAAATGGCCTTCAGAAAGATGACTTTGACATGTTCTTGTTTAAGACCTTCTTAAGTTCTTCTTGCTGAAATCAAGTGATGGTTTTTCACAGATAGTGCTAAATTTTAGTGTCTTGAAACAATGTTACAAGCATAGCCTTTAGGAGCAAATCTGTATTTCACATAATCTAACAGTATGAAGTGTTCTTTATTCTACCTGGCAGATGAATTGTTTCAATTTGTCATTCTGCATGTGTGGATACTGAAGCTGGGAGAATGTAGGTCTTCCTGGAATTGCTGGGAGGAAGATCCAAGCCTTCTGGTGGGGCCAGGGCTGCTATCTCAGGCTGTCTGCATCATGTTTTAGGGTCTTTCTGCAGAATAGCATGTCTTTGTGGGTGGGGGTAGTAAAGTGTAAAACTCATTACATGGAACTGGATCTCACTTCCCTGGGAATGAAGGACTGACTGCAGCTATTTAGCTAAACAGTTTATCTCGGATATAAAGGTGGTGTTCATTCTCCTTATTAGTTTGCAGGTTAAATTGTTAATGAGAAATGAGTCTGGATCTGAATTTGCCATAATGCCCTTATACTAATTTGGCATTGACAAGTCAATGTTTATTGAAGGTAAGAGTGCTCATTGGACAGCTGAGTCTTTATTTTTAAAGTGAAAATTTAGTTTATGTAACATGCTATCTAAAAACACAAGTCTTAGAAAACTGAGCAGTATTTTTTAAATAAGTAATAAATCCTAATTTGTCTTTATGGCACAGTTTCTTTTATCTTTTAAAAAGTTTCTTTAAATTCCAAAACTAAAATGTGACTTTGAACTTAGCTGGCCATGTTAAGGGACCAATGTTAATCAGACTGTGAAAGAAATCAGCTTAATTAGAATAAAGCACAATAGATGTAACTGATGTCACTATACTTTTATTTTTTAAATCATGACAGAGTAGCAAGACCTGGAGCTTGAATTCATTTCAAAGTTTTTTCCAATCTATTGTCACTAAGACAAATTTTCCCTGACCAAAGTCAAGAAACTGAAGTTCCTCCTATATTTAGGACCTTTTATGGTTCCATGTGCACACTACAGCCTCTGTGGATGCAGCATGATACTCCATTCATAGTGATGAAGACTGGTGGACTGCCTCTCTGAACTATTGGCTATGCTTGTTGTTTTTAATTTGTTCCAATTAAGGAAGCTGAAATATAAAGATGCAAACAGCATATAGCAGGGATAAAAAGGGAGGAAAACAAGGGTAGGGAAATGAAATTTAAAAATATAAGATAACCCATGAATATTTGAAAATTTCCCTGTTCTGACTTTTTTCTAGTTTCCTGTCTAGAACTTGTAATGCTAATTACTCTTGCCTTTACTTCTCCTTCACATCTCCTATTCATGATTCAAGAACTTTCTTTTCCCCTTAGAGGCAAGAGCTATGCAATTTGGGGGGCTTTTAGACAGACCCACTGAAGGGGTACTCCAATTGCCTCACCCCGCGTCCCTGTTCAGCATGGAAGAAGCCAGAGCAGTCTGCATCCCTATTCCCTATTCACAATTTGGGTAACCCCTTCCGTGGATGGCATGATAAGAATAAGAGTTTGGAATTGGCTAGGCAGGTAGAGTAAAAATACCCCAAAGAAATGTAGCCAGTTTCTGGACTAAAAGTCAAAATGTCCCTGGGCCTGTTAGCAACACATTCTGTTCCAAAGGCCAAAAATGTCAAAATGTCAAAAGTATTTGGGAGCTTAAAAGATTTTAATCCTTAAAAGATTTTAGGGTTACCTCTTCAGAGGGGGGAATGTTGGAGGGGAGGGAATGGGCATAGATTTGATCAAAACACCTTATATGCCTGTATTAAATTCTCAATAAAGTGTTTGTAAGAGTTTAAAAAAAAACAAAAAAAAAAAAAAAAGATAACCCATGCTTTCACAAAAACATTCTTTTTTCCTTGAAAGCACTGTGCTTGTCAGTTCAAAAGGAAAATTTGTGATTTTTTTTTGTTTATAATAAGCACCCAGTTGTTGCTTTTACAGAAACATAGTCACTGAATGAGTTGCAATTTTTGCATATAACTCACCAGTTTAGTGTTAAAGAGAGAGTGTTATATTTAACTGCAATCAATCATACATCTTTTACTCATTGATTTTTTTGATCCTTCTAGACCACTTCACTTTTTCTTCTTGGAAGGAACATCATAGACTGACTTAAAAGGCACTCTATTATTCTTGTAATACTGTTTCCACGGTTCAGATATTGCTGTAAAACTTTTGATGCCTTTTCATCTACTTGTGGGACATACTGTAAGTAAGGAGGGTGTGCACCAGACTGAACTTTATGGAAGCTGGGTCCTTGCTTCAGCCCTTACATACAAATATTTTGCCTAGTGGAGGATGATAAAATAATACAAAACTTATGCTCCTAAGGCAGCGTTTACCTAATTTGCAAAATAAGGATAATGTCTTCAAGATGACATAAGAGAGGGAATCTGATTCTCTAAGTACTTGATATTGTCTGGATTCCAGAAAATAGTTTTGAATGCACACCCACTGCTTTAGACAGCTTGCAGGCAGCCTGAGGCAAAGATGCCTACTGATGTATCAGCCCACTTGAAAAAGTATTCCTAAGCACAGCTTACATGCAGACCTGAAAAATCTTAGCAAAATAAAGGCAGAATCTCACAGTTCACATCTGGGAGACCCTGCATCATTCAATTGTTGGACTAACTCAACAATACTCTTTATTCCCCATCCCTTAAAAATGACTGTCCACATTGTCATCACCATTTCTCCCTCAACCTACTACCTAACAGCTCCTACCCCATTCACCACAATGCATCTTAATAAGAGATCTCCTTGTTATTCAGGCCAATCACCATTTACTGTGAACTTACTATGTGCTCTGGGCATTATACTGTGTACCAGAGAAGCAGCCATGAGCAACAGCTTTCCTTCTGTTGTATATGGCTCACACTTGGAATCCATGGTGGCTTATTCCCTGTATGATAAATTGTGATAAGAAAAAGAATGTTAATATAACTGGATATGCTTAAAGAAATGTAGAGACAGATGGTATGATGACTTTGCAAGAAATAAAGATAATCTGATTTTCTATTTATTTTGAATTATGATTAAATTTAATTTTCTCTTCACATTAAATTTAAACTGTACACAGATATCATATGCATGATTCAAATAGGAATTCATAAAAATATATTCATGAATGTTTTATATAGTAGTAGTGACTATACTCTATATCTGACTTTTGATTATTATAGCATTCATTTTTCAATTAGGGATATCTTTCTGAGACTATTTAATGGGAATAATGTAAATTTTCACATATATCTGCTCTATACTTGTGTTTGATGAAACAGTTTTTATATTGAAGAACATTTTCTCCACATTTTATGTAAATATTTGAAGAAGCCATGATAAATCATCCCCATTTAAATATGCACCAGACAACTCTACTTTTTTCTTTATAAACTTCCAAAGATGCAAATACAACATTAATATTCTTTCACAGCTGGGGCTGTCGCTCAATGGTGGACTGTTTGCCTTGCTTGCATGATGCCCTAGGTTTAATACCCAGGACTTGCAAAAATAAATTTCCTTCACAGTTGTGAGCTATGTTGCAGTACTGATAGCACTTTGATAATGTTATTTTCAATTATTTCTTGCTTATAGAATTTTCCTTTTCATTCAATTTTGTGTTATTTGGAGTCTCCTGGGATGTAGCCTCCCTTCCTTGCAGAAGGTAATACAGAACTAACCCTGTTGAAAACGTCTCTCTCCCTCTTGTCCTACTTTCCTCCTAGGTTTCTTGATTTTCCAAAATAAATTTTATGCTTGTTGCTCATAATCCCATCAGAATGAAAGGTTCATTATTTTTATTATTTAAAAAAGCCCACCATTTTTATGGTCATAGTGCCGATTATGATCTGAAGGTTTGTATCCTAAAATTTATAAATTGAAATTGTCCCCCTCAAAGTAATGGTAATAGGTGGTAGAATCTTCAGGAGGTGATTAAGCCATAAGGACAGGGCCCTTATGAATGAGACTGGACCGTTGAAGTCATAGAGGAAACCTGAAGACACTGTCCATGGGCCATCTGGGAATGGCACTCTTACCAGGCACTGACTTTGTCTGTGGTTTCTTTTGTATTTCCCATTTTCCTGGACTGTAAACATGAATTTCTGGGGTTCATAAGACACTCAGACTAGGGTGTTTTAATACACTAGTCTCAACTACCCAAGACTGTGTCTCTGGAAAAGTATTATTAGATGTGTGGTAGAAAGGGGCATATGCCTTTTATTTCTTTTTTAAAAATTATTTTTATTTTATGTGTATGAGTGTATTGCCTGCATGTAGATAAGTGTACCTGTGTTGTGCGATGCCTGTGTAGGTTAGAAGAGGCTGTTGGATCCCCTGGGACTGGACTTACGGACAGTTGTTAGCTGCCATGTGGGTGCTGGGATTCGAACCCGGGTCTTCTGTAAGAACAGTGTTCTTAACCACTGAGCCATCTCTCCAGCCCCTTTTATTTCTTTTTTAAAAATATTTTATTATTTTTCTAGTTTCTTATTGATTTTTCATGCACTTCATATAACACACCTTAATCAAATCTAGACTCCTGCCCCCTTCCCTCCCCTCATAGCCACCCACCAGATTTCAGATATTCTGTCATATATGTTAAGTCCTATATGGTCCAGCATTTGTATCCAGATATCCCTCTGTGGATGCCTTTTATTTCTTAAATGAATGACAGACATTCAGAATACCCTTTGTTACTCTTGACAATATATGATGACCAGCTATCTTTACCCTCCTCCATAAAAGTAATTTATGATCAACTTTTTAGTTCTTTGCTCTTATCGGTTACCTGATAACCATATTAGCCAATAATTATGCAAATATTGGGTGAAAAGTGTTTTTAGCTTCACTTCACAAGTGGAAAAAAAGACCTCTAGTGACTTTTCCAAACAATATCATTGATAATAGCTTAATGTAGTCTTACTGGAATAATTTTTTACTGTATCTATCTCTTAGGTATATTGTAACCTCAAATACCTTTAAAGACAAATATAATTTGAGACTTATTTGCAAGTTTGGTTTGTTTGGATTATTCTCATCTCATTTGTGTGTGTGTGTGTGTGTGTGTGTGTGTGTGTGTGTGTGTGTGTGTCTGGGTAGGCCATGGAATGAAGTCACTGTGTCTCAGAACGTGAGTCCTTTACCAATGGTTATTACTTACACATTACCATTAGTTTATTACAGGCGGAAGAAGAGGCTTTTATGTTATCTTGCCATAAAGTAACCTTGATTTATAAAGACATGATACTGTTCTATTTTCAGCTGGATTATGGAGAAAATCCCAATCAGGATTAGCATCTAAGATTTACTGATGTCTTTAGGAAAAAAACAAGTTGAGAGTCCTGGGCTCAGAAGCTATGGAGTATTAGGGCAGAATTCAACTGATTTGTACACATCTAATATTTCATGGTCATTATATAGGCACAGAAATTATAATGAGATAGTGGAAATAAAAGCATTTTAAAATCCAATAGTCAATAAAATTCAATGAGAAATGATTCATGTAGTGTGAATTTATTTAGTAAAAAACATTATAGAGCCAACCATCACAATTCAGGAGCTGACAATTTAAAATGCTTTCCTCTCTCTTCAGTGTTCTGTGCTAATAAGTCATGGAATTAACTGAACATACAGTGATATTAGGGAATTTATATCTTCCATGCATTGTGACATGACCAGGGAAGAAAGAAGTATTTCTGCCTCTCTTGGCAATAAGGTTTTCTTAGTTTCCTTCTTTTCTTCTTTCTTTCCTTTCCAAGAGAGTAACTTGAGATTTCTTGTCCTTCCAGGTACAGAGCCATTGTGAACCCCATGGACATGCAGACATCCGGGGTGGTAGTATGGACCTGTGTGAAGGCCGTGGGGATTTGGGTGGTCTCTGTGTTGCTGGCAGTTCCTGAAGCTGTGTTTTCAGAAGTGGCACGTATTGGTAGCTGGGATAACAGCAGTTTTACCGCATGCATACCATACCCTCAAACGGATGAACTGCATCCAAAGATTCATTCTGTGCTCATTTTTCTGGTCTATTTCCTCATACCACTTGTTATTATCAGCATTTATTATTATCACATTGCAAAGACCTTAATTAAAAGTGCCCATAATCTTCCTGGAGAATACAATGAACATGCTAAAAAGCAGGTAAGCTCTCTCTCTCTCTCTCTCTCTCTCTCTCTCTCTCTCTCTGTGTGTTCATATAGTGTTGGTTAGAATCATTGACTGTTCTATCTTATGAGCTGTCCATCCCATGGATTATGATGACAGCCTTGAGCCTTCACTAGGTGAACTTGTATGTGACTGTGCCACAATGTGAAAAGTCTACTTGGATCCGCTTTATCAGACATTGGAGCCTATGACAAAAACTGGAATTATATCATTAGAAATTGATATCTTTGGGCTGGCTATGGCTCAGTTGGTAAAAAAACATGCAGAGCAGTATGAACACCTGAGCTCTTGAATCAATGTATAAAAGCTGGACATGGTCTTTAACCCTAATGCTGGGAATGGGGAGAGGGATGAAGTCTGCAGACAGGAGGACCCTGCACGTCACTGCTCAGACAGCCTAGGCAATCGGTGAGCACAGGGTTCACTACGAGAACCTGTTTTAAAAGATAAGGTGGATGATGATAATGCGAGACACTTGGCATCGATGCCTGGCCTCCATACATATGTGCACATACACACACACAAACATTCAAACACATACATTGTACACATTCATGCACACATACAAATGATAAATTAAAAGAAAATTAATATCCTTGGGAGCCTTTTGGTTTCTTACATGCAAATATTTATACAAAGATCAAGATCACTAATCAGAAAATTTCATATTTTAAGTGTAAGTTTAATTATTATCTCTTTACCTATTATCCCTATGGTGACAAGGAGAAAGATACTTTGGAAAAGAATGTAGAGTACTACCTAGGATCTGTGGCTGTGGCTTGAATGAGCTACCAGAACAGGAGGTTCTGGAATGGCAGAGAAGCAGAAAAAGAATGGATGTGATGCCAAAGGGAGATGCTGGGATACTTGGCACACTGCAATTGTAAAAGCATTATGGCATGTACACTATGCACATTTTCTTCTTTTAACTATATGCAATGATAATTTCAGTTAAAACTAATTGTGTTGACTCACAATGAGAGAGACGGAGAGTTCTTCAAGGGAAGTTTAGAGTTGTATATTTCTGCATTCCAGGAAAAAAAATCTAGAGGGTTCTGTAAGTATTGGGAGGTGATGGCAGCCTTTTACCAATTTGAAGGCAAATAAATTTAGTCTGATATTATTAAAATTAGTGGTAGAATATAGAATATAGACAGAGTAACAGATTGGGATTTGGGGGCTTTTCAACAGCAGAAGCTGTAAAGGTTTCTTTCCTGCAGAGTAGCCTCCATTAATTAATATCAGCATAAGGGTTGACATCTACCTTAGAGCCTCAGAAAATCAGCCAATATCCCAGGCCCTTGTAAGCTAAGTGAGTATATTTATTATCTAAGCATCTGAAATCACTGCAGTAAAATGTCTAGGTTATAGGTTCACTGTGGCTTTTACTTTATGTAACCATACATTTTATTTAGAATTCCGTAATTCAACTTATATCATAATTTGTATATTTGAGTTTCAGTTTGGAGTTTCCTAAAGTTAAGTTCTTCTCATACTCACAGACCTTTCCTGAGCCTTTTAAAAAATGCCATTGGTTCTGCCTTGTTTTTGTGACTTTCCTTTTTGGTGATTTTTAGCTAGCTCTTATAATCTGACACTTGATATTACCTAAGGCATCATCTCAAAGCCACCAGTTTGCCTGCACATGAATCTCCAGGTTCATATTGCTATGAAACTTCTGTGCCCATATTCCACCTTCTAGAAAGGACATTACTGAGAAATCTGTTCCACATTCACCCTTCTTAATATGGTTGGGTTGTCTAAATTGCGCCACCAAGACACATCCATGATATTACATTTGGTTCTCAGTGTCAGTTTTGTTTAAACGTTTAACCTTTCCAGTCTTTTCTAGAGTATTCTACTTGCTGAGCAGGAAGTATTGTGAGGACCACTGTCAGTGTCTTTTGATCTATTATTTTTCCCCATTTACATTGTCATGTTTGAACAGTTAAGAAAATTGAGAAATATGTGGTAAATTTTGGATTCTAGATTTTAGAAATAATTCTTAGGTTAAAATATCAAATGTCTTATATTTGATTTCTATTTATCACACCACTGAAGACTATTTTACAGAACAGTTATAATAGTACGTATTTTATGAATAAGCTAAAATATGTTGGTTTATAAGTATAATCTAGTATAATGCTAATAGTATTATACTTATTTATTTAATGTGCATGTGTGTGCGTGTGTGTGTGTGTGTGTATGTGCATGTGTATGTATTCTGTGGTATACATTGAAGGTCAGAGGACAACTTGTAAGAGTCAATTCTCATCTTCTACAATGTGGGTCTTGGGTGTTGAACTCAGGTTGGTGACTTTACCCACTCAGACATCTTGTTAGCCCCAGAAGATTTTATTTATTAAGTGAGTCAGGGGTTTAAATCTTCATGTTCATTTATTTGTGAGTGTGTAGTACGAGTGAAAAATACTCACGTCCTGTTTCAATGAGTCAGTTTTTCCCTGTTTAAAATACTCTGGTATTCAGAAAATAGTTAAGCTTGAATATATATATTCTGTGGCTCATAAATTTAGTACATTTAATACAAACAAAATAATTTATAGTTATATTGGATACAATGCCACTTTAAGTAAAAAAAAACATTCATTTCTATCACAAATTTAACATGAATATAAAGCCATTTTTATAATTTATCATCTGATCTTGTGTAAATATTAAATATTTTTAAAAGAAAATAGTGTTGGGCCAGGCGTGGTGGCACAGGACTTTAATCCCATCACTTGGGAGGCAGAGGCAGGCAGATCTCTGTGAGTTCAAGACCAGCCTCCTCTACATAGTGAGTTCCAGGACAGCTGGGGCTACAGGGAGACCCTGTCTCAAAAAGACACCCCTCCCCCCCAAAAGAAAATAGTGTCATGACCAAAATCAGCTTGGTCAAACTCTTAAAGCAATCACTTTGGTTAGGAAAATAAGCAATTTAGGTGTTTTGGATGCGTCTTCATGTTGCAAAAGGATTCATTCATTTTGTGGCATGAATTTTGGCTGTGGCTGACTCCGTTTTTTTTTAATCAATGGGGGCACGTGTTCTTCACAGATGGAGACACGGAAACGCCTGGCTAAAATCGTGCTGGTGTTTGTGGGCTGCTTCGTCTTCTGCTGGTTTCCCAATCACGTCCTCTACATGTACCGATCTTTCAACTACAAGGAGATTGACCCTTCTCTGGGTCACATGATTGTCACCTTAGTGGCCCGGGTTCTGAGTTTTTGCAATTCTTGTGTCAACCCCTTTGCTCTTTACCTGCTCAGCGAGAGCTTCAGGAAGCACTTCAACAGCCAGCTCTGCTGTGGGAGGAAGTCCTACCCCGAGAGATCAACCAGCTACCTGCTCAGCTCTTCAGCAGTGAGAATGACTTCTCTGAAAAGCAACACTAAGAACGTGGTGACCAATTCTGTTCTGCTAAATGGACACAGCACGAAGCAGGAAATAGCTCTGTGACTGGAGGCCATTCAACTCACTCTTGGAAGAGACCTTAAAAACTTTTCTATTCTTATTGTGCAGAGCAGAACTAAATAATTTCCACATTCTTACTGTTGCTTAGCTAATTCATCAGACAACTTCATGACTGACTCAGAAAAGGCAAGACATTTTTCTCTGAATAGAACCTTAAATTACAATATGCACACCTATACTATACACACAAATATATCTCGTTCTAAAATGTGTAGAAAATGAGTCTGCAGACATGGCTCAGTGGTTGAGAGCACTAACAATGACGGAAAACAGCAGTTCCAGGATACCTGACCTCCTTTTCTGGTCTCTGTGGGCACAGCATGACATAGAGGCACTTAACGTGCAGGCAAAACACTCATATACATAAAATAAGAAAAATAAATTGATTTAGAAAATGATGTACATAAATCAATATTCCCCCAGTATTTAAGGTGGTGTTACAAAAACTATTATATTTACCTTAAATTTCTTTTATATTAGAGCATAAAATACATTTTCATATTGCCACAGTAATTCAGTGAGAGATAATATCAAAGTCTTATTTGAAATAAAAGTATAACTTCCTGCTGAGTCACTTTCATTCATAATATGTATATATCTGCACTCAAAAAATTTAAAACAATGTAGCTAATCATAATTCAGTAATATTTATTCTGGTTCTTATGTAAGAAATTATAATTTATAGAAATGCTTATGTCTGTAACCATGAGTTATATTCTTGAAAAGTTTGATGGCTTTTATTGTGAATTGTAAATAGATATGATGTAAATGGGATTTACCTTAGAAGTGCCAAATAAATATGAAATGTTCCAAATTCCAAAACTGTGACTCACAAATTTGCATGCTCATTTTGTGTACATTGTTAAATCCTTGACAATTTGGTTGCTTCTGTGTAGATAACAAGATTTGTATAATTCTAGTGAGTCCTCATTTATTCTGCTGACTGAGGTGTGTGGGATCTCAGGCAGTTTTTCTCAGCATGATAGCACAGTTCTCTCTAAATAAATGCCTTGATAATTTCCAGCAAATTAGTAACATTGTCTTTATTAAATCCTAAAATCTACCTCCTTCTTAAGCATGCACCAACTGTTTAATACTTGAGTTCTTTTTTCATATAATTTCTTCTTCCCAAACATGTTAAGATGACATTGTTAGTGTGTTAAGCTTTTCTTTAAATATCTCTAACCCACACTATTGAAGCTATTAAAGAATCAGTTGCATATAGCAGGTGAAAAAATAAACATAAGCACATTGCCTATGGTATCTGACAATCTGAAAGACAATGAAAACTAACCAAGTGCTTCCTGTGCTGTAGGTATATTACCAAAGCTTTGCACGTAATTTAAGATTTCTTCCTTAATATAATCACTAGGATGGATAAAGGAAGGACCAAATCAGCAGAAATTTTTGTTCAAAAGAGTACACAATTTTACAAATTAAATGCGTACATTTAGTCATGTTAGTACAGGGTCAAACATGAACTTTAACCTTCAGTAACTTCATGGAAAATTCACCTGTGAGGTAGGTCTTAATCTATAGTTTAGAAAATTGAAGCTCCACTCTATTCAGTAATTTAGAGAAGTTTATTCTGCCATGTGGAAAAATTAAGATACAAAATCAGATACTATATAATGGGGTGTGTACTCCTCTGCCCCACTGCCATTCAATTGTGACTTTCTATGGCTGCTTTTAACCTTTAGGCAAGGTGTAGACCAACAAGAAATCACACGAATAAAATTAACACATTTGATTTTATTTTTTAAAGTTTTATTAGGAAATTAGAAAATTTATAGCAAAAGAAAAAGTAATCATCATCAAGAACAACAATGGTAGGGCTGGAGAGATGGCTCAGTGGTTAAGGGCGCTGGCTGTGCTTGCAGAAGACTCAGGTTCGAGTCCCAGCACTCACATGGTGGCTAACAACCATCTGTAACTCCAGTTCCAGGGAAATTTGATGCCCTCTTCTGACCTCCACAGGTGATGCACAACATGAGTGCACTTAAATACATTCAGGCAATACACTCATACACATTAAATACAAATAATAAATAAAATATTATAAAAAAGAGCAGTAATGGTATCATCTCAGCATGTTCAACAAATCATTGTCTAGTCATGCCCAGTTCCCACTGGACGGATGGTCAGTGGAATCAAACAGGAATCACAACTCTCACAATCACTGCCACAAAAGGACAACATTCACTGGACTCCTATGGGATACAGAAGTGATTCCTGTTGCTTCAACATGTAGAAAGTTTAATACATACATCCACCATGAACAAAAGACAAAAACTATGCTCTTTGCTTTGAAAATCACCCTCTCTTGTTCTCAGTTCTGCATGTTATATCCACACATGTGTTCATGTGTTTGTTTACATCCATCCATTTATCTATCTATCTATCTATCTATCTATCTATCTATCTATATCTATCTGTTATCCATCTATCTCTATCATCTATCTATCTATCTATCATCTATCTCTGTCATCTATCTATCTATCTATATCTATCTATCTATCAATCATCTACATGTACACATTATAGACTAGGCTCCGCTTATGAGGAAAAAATGGGGTGTTTTAATTTCTGTGACTGGTTGACCTCACTTAATATTATACATTCTAAGCCAATCTGTTTTGCTATAAATTTTTTTATTTCATTTTTTAGATCTGAATATAACTTGCATTATACATATATATATATATATATCAGATTTTCATTACCCATTCAGCTATTTCCTTGCTATAGTGAATAGTACAGCAATAAACATTGGGGTGTAAATATATCTCTATAATAAGTATGGAGTATATCCAAGAGTGAGATACTTGGGTCATATAGTGCTCTATTTTTATTTTTTTGAACTACATACTAACTTCCATATTGACTATGCTAATTTGCACACCCACCAGCAGTGAATAATGGTTCTTCTTTCTCCACAACTTCTCTAACATATTTTATATTGATTTTGAATGCCCTATACATTTTTAAGGAAAATTCATTGATATCTATAGAGTTATGGCCTAATAAGAACACTGGTTCAATCAGAATTATTCCCCTTTGATGATATTAAGATGAAAACTTTTCTTTTTGAGATAAGGTCTCCCTATAGCCCCAAACTGGTCTAAAACTTGCTATGAAGATCAGGCTGGCCTTGATCTTACAGAAATCAGCCTATCTCTGCCTCCTGAGTGTTGAGATTAAAGTTACATGTCACCATGTCTAGTTACAATCAGATATTTTTTGTAAGAATGAAAAACATTTGTTCATTTTTTCCCATTTTTTCTTTAATGATAACAATGAAGTAAGAACGGTACTTCACAAATCTATCTTGTTTTTACTCAAGAGTATATTAACAATGAGCACATTTCTGAACATGCAGTATTATCACAATTTGGCTGCATTTAAAGTTTTCCTTCTGACTGCTTTATATCAATATTTTTATTGAACTTTTTGAATTTCATACATCTCCTACTCAAATCTAGACCCCCTCCCCAGCCATGCCTCCCATATGCTCCCACCAAACTCTGTGTACTCTGCCATACATGCTGAGTCCTAGTCATTCAAGTGTTTGTACCCAAATGTCCTTCAATCTAAATGTGTCCATTAGAGTCTTGTCAGCCCATCCAGTGGTTGTATGTAAGTAATATTCTCCCTTACCCAGCAGCAATCAGTTTCAAATAGTTCTCAATCTAGTGCTGGCCACCACCTATTTCTTACCTCCCCTTTGGGCCCTTGTTTGATTGAGGTGACATGGGTCCAGTGCTTGCTGTTACCTACCACTGCTGATGCAGGCTCACATGAGCAAACCTCCAGTGGCCTGGAAGCCTCCACATCCTTATTTCTTTCAGTATTAATCTGAACCTTTCAGACACTTAGTCAATACAATTAAACTCTATTACAAATCAAATAGGTTGAAGATTATGCAAAGTATTATTTTTAAAATATGATCATTGCACTATCTATACTCCTCTGTTATATTCCAAATCCACTTAATAACTATTAAAATTATACAATTTCAAGAAACACTGAGAATCACACTATTTTCTCAAAAATTCTCAGAGAATGAACTCACACCAAGAAACATCTGGGTACACAAAGTTGACTCAATAGGCCTTTATATATATGACAGAATGCCTGAAACCTGGTGGGAGGGCTGTGGGGGGTGAAGAGGAAGGGTATAAAGATGATTAAAATGTATTGTATGAAATGCAAAAAATTTCAATAAAATATATATTGAAAAATTTCTTTCTTTGGATCAGAGAGTTACTGCATTGATATCTATTTTATGATGTATGATAAAACCATAATGTATTATGATGAAAGCAAGAATTGAAGTTTATCAAATATTTTCCAAATCAAACATGTCTGCATTGCATACACACACTCTCACTTGCACATATGCGGCTATATTCATATTAAAATTAGAGTTTAAACTTTGTCATTTGTTGGAATTTATATATGTTTAGTCTATACGTACTTGTTGATGGTTCTTGACTTATAATTGACATAGGATTTTCCAACTTTACTATTGTGTAAAGCTGATATGCATTAAGTAGAAAACATTCTTTGAGTTTTTATCTTTTTCTGATTTGGTGATTCTACATACTTTCATGATGCTAGGCAGTGGTAGCAAGCCATATGTTCCTACTTCCATATGATCACAGGGATAAATAGACAATGCTCTACAGTGCATCATACTGAATAAAGAAAATAAGACACTTAGCTCTTTATTAGGCCTTGTAATCAATGGTTTGCCCAGTTTTAGGCCAATGTAAGTATTCTGAACATGTTTAGGTTACTGAAGGCTAAACTATGATGGTTAAGAGGGTATGTGTAAGAAATTCATTTTGATATGATATTTTCAGTATGCAATGGATTTATCAATGGATTCACTGGGTTTCACCCTGTTGTAGGTTAAGTAGCATCTGATTCTGTTTCTGCACATTTGAAGATTTCACTGCTCTTTTTGTGGTTGAATGTGCGCCCCTCCCCCAAGTTCATGTATTGAAAACTTAATCCCAATGCAACAGCGTTGATAGCACATATCTTTAAAAGGTGATAAGGGAAAGAGGACCCTTTCCTATAGAATAGATGGTCATAAACATGGGAATGGGTTCATCATCATAGGAACAGCATCTTTATAAAAGATGAGTTCAGCTTCCTTCCCCCACTTTGTGTACGTGCTCTAGCTTTGTGATACTTTCTGCTATTTATGTTATAGCAAGAAGAATCTGGAGATGTTGTTCATTGATCTTAAACTTGTCAGTCTCTGGAACTGTGATCCAGATAACCTTCTATTATTTACATATCAAACAGCAAAAATAATTAAGACAGTTCTTATTACCAAACAATGATGATTAATTAAATTAGTTCCAAATTTACCCACATAGTGCACATATAGTGTTAAACCAATGGAGTGATATGTCAGAAAGAACCAACATTCTTCCTTTTAATATGCATATAGGACACATCCTAT